TTCATTCTATGCCCTACCCAAAGTAGTCACATTCTTAAATCCCATGCTTATTTTTATATTCTTAGTATATATGTATTCATCAATAATAGTTTTTCATTGATTTTTTACATTTTAAAATTTTATATCAATTGCATAATTTTGCTTGCTCACTTAATATTATATCCTACATTAACATATGTAGCTCTAATGGGGTCATTTTCACTGGTATATAATATTACATATTCTGAGGATACCGATTTATTTTTCCATTTTCCAGATGATGAGCATATGTTTCCAAATGTTCACTACTATAAATAATGCCCTAATGAACTCTTCATACATGTCTCACATGTGCCCATGTAAGAAAACTTTTCTAGGTTATGTATTTCTACCAACAGACCTGCTGAGTTGAAAAGCATCTCCATCTCCCACTAATTACTAATTTCCAATACTCTCTAAATGGCTTATACCAATTTATACTCCTAAAAATAATGTATAGGATTACTAATATTTGCTTGCTGGCTAACATTTGAATTCCCATACTTTTTTGACAATCTGAAGGGTTCCTCTCTGCAGGTTTAGTTTGCATTTCCTCTGCCACTAGTAAAAGTGACATTTTTCATACCTTTATTGGTCTTTTATGTTTCCTTTTCTATGAATTGCCTTTGCCTATCTTTCTATTCAATGTTCTTTCTTTTCTCTTGAGTTGCAGCAGATCATTACATATTCTGGATACTTAAAGGTTGTATGTTGCAAATACCGTCTCTCGTACACTGTCTATATATTCTTTTCTGATTCGGAGACATTTTAAGATTTTAATACAGTAGAATTCATTAATGTTTTCCTTTATCGTCATATTTTTAATGTCATGTGTATAATTCATATTTTGTGTTTTAGGGTCAAGACCACAAAACCACTCTGGCAGAGAATCCACCTATGTGAATAATGACTCAGTTTTAGAACAGTTTTCTCGGTTTCACATTTGTGTTTTCTCTATTGCAAAATACTGAGTCTATGTGAGGGCCAAAAGTCTAAAAAAAAGTCACCTAAATGACTGTCTATGGAGCAGACTTTTCTGCATTCCACTCTATTATGACAAGTAATTTGGGGATTTAAATATTTTAAAAGATTTGAACAAATACAGAAAAAATGAGGAAACTTACCTTTTACAGACATGAACTAAAACTACATTTAATAATTCATGTGTTAATTATAAAACAGTTTTTGACAAAGTAATATTGCCACTGAAGTGTTATTTTGTTTTTGTTTTTAATCAGATGATCGCAGAGCGGGGACAGTGAAGTGAAATAGCAAATTCCTACCTTGTGGTTCCACCATGAAAAATTTCAGATGGAAAGATGATTTTCCTTTTACAGTGACTCTTCATTATCCACAATGACGAATAAAGATGGCCTGGATACAGAATCCACTAAGGGTGCCAAAAACTTATTTTGGATAACTGTTTCATTTTCTAACATCACCAAATGATCTAACAGACAGGCACCAAAGGAGGAAAGAGGGCTGTTCCGAACCTTTCCTACTTGACTGCATATGTTTATTACCAAATAGAGGTGTTAATGAGCATGAAAGTATCTAGAACACAGTTCAAGGATGAAATAAATAGCAAATAAATCCAACTGATTCAAGTTGTACTTTCAGGGTATGACAAGGCCAAGCTAAACCACCATTCCCCATGTCCCATAGAACTCAACCCAGCCAACCCTGCATCATCCTGCTCTCTCACCCGGGACTGTTTTCTTGGGAGGAACACCAAGCCACTTTCCAGCAAAGTCTTTAGGGGTCAGTTAGGGAGATGCTGTCATTCGACCACACTGGCTGCTTCTCTCTCCAGAAATAATGACAGGCATGTGTTTTTAAAATCAGCTCTCATTTTCTAAGACAAAGACTAAAGTGCTGCCTTTGGCATTTCAGCCATTTATTAAACCAAAAGAATTTCAGTTTCTAATGAAATAATATTATATTTTCTATTATTTCATCTATTAACATTCTTTTTCTGAACAGCTTCCATCTTTTAAATTAGCAATGTTTGTCCATTATTCAAATGAAAATGAATATAACTATTAAATTTATACTTAAAAGTACATCGAGATCCCAACTAAAAAGAAAGTCAGTCTCACTATGGTTATATTGGAAATCCATTGTATCCAGGCGTCAATTAAATAATCTGTTGCCTGAGTATTTTTTTTTTCTTCAATGTAAATGCGTATCTTTTTTTTTTTTTTTTTGGTGCCGGGGATCGAACTCAGGTCCTTGTGCTTGCGCAGGAGGCGAAACCACTGAGCTAAATCCCCAGCTATATCTATGTTCTTAAACCACATATTAGCTTTATTCCATAACAACTTTGGTAAATTTTAAATATGTTATGTCAAGAGCAATTTTTCATGTTCTTAAATTTTTCTTGAAACCCTGAATTTTTAATGGTTGTATATTTCAAGAGATAGACATACCATAATTTTTTAGACTATTATCCTATAAGAGTTGCACCCAGTATTTTGCTATTTGTATATACAACAAATACCAGCCATTCTTATCACTGTCTTAGAACTAGAGGGAGAATTTCCAGGTAAAAGGGATATATTTTTTAAAATTATACCTTCACAGGTATTCTATTTGCTAGAAATATTTATACTACCATCAGTGTATGTGAATGCTTTTTTCATTGCAGAGATTTTTATCTTTTATTAAAATTTTACTTAACTGTTAGGTTGAAATAATATCACCTTGTTCAATTTGGGTTTCTTTGATAAAGAGGGAAATTTTACTTCTTTCATGATTAATGGTATGTAGAGGCTCTATATATTTTATATAAGTGGTTTACATAAACCAATATATAACTATGTATAATTCAATAAGAAAAAATCTTAATAGTAAAATATGTAGTTATCATAATATACATACAAACCTGTGACAAACAATTTCTCCAATTCATCATTTGGATTTATGTGTTAGCAAATGACCTGTATGTTTTAAGCTGTAGCCCCATTAGGGTTTTTTGTGTGTGTGTGAGTGTGACTCTGCGTGGTTACTATCTTTCAGGAACTCTCATGATTTCCTTTCTTAGTTTTACTACTTGCTAAATAGTGTGTACTCCAATTTCATATTACTATTTCTCTTAATCTCAGACTTAAGTGATCCAACTCCTATTTGACAAATTTTCTTGAGTTTCTTACAGGGCTCTCAAGCCAACATGTCCAAAACTGAATTACTAATCTTACCTACAAAATTTGTTCTACTCAGGCTTCTATCAGAAACTTTGGATTAAATTGTTGACAATTTATTTTCCCTCACACTAAGTAGTCCCTACAAAACAAACTTCCTTCTATCTTTACTGGCATTAACTTTGCCTAAATATCATCATTTCTGACCTGAGCTAGCTTTTTTTTTGTGGTTCCGGGGATAGAACTCAGGACCTTGCGCTTTCGAGGCAGGTGCAGTGCCACTGAGCTAAATCCCCGGTCCTGAGGCCCTGTGCTAGTTTAACAGGCTAACTTACCCTACTGCTTCTCCTTTTCCCCTCAAATTCATTCTACCCAGAGTGGCCAAAGTCAGTGTTTAAAAACAGAGATCAGGTCATGTGACTGACTACACTGCTTAAAACTCTTCTATGATTTCTCCTTGCTGTTGGAATAAACTGCAAACATTTATATTAAACATCTCTAAATTCGAACTTGGAGATTAGGGTCATTGCTATTTACTTAAAGACTTCTTTGATGGAAATGGCTTATTAGCCTTTCTAGGTTCTATAAATTTAACATCTTTCTTTTCTTTATTCCATTATCTTGCTAAAATGTTCCATAATCTCATATTAAATTCATAACTCATGACCATCACCTATATCACACAAGTGCTATAGTTACACTCTTCTTACTAAGTTACATGAATCTTACTCTTCTCACACTAAGCATTTCTATCTGCCAGTATCTAGATTCTTCCCAAATGAAGAAGTCTAGTTAAAAGCCTGAAAGCCTCTTAGTCCAACTTACTATAAAATGGGAGTACTCACAGTTGAGTCTAAATATATGACAGGTTAATCCAAACTTTGCCACTATGTGATCCTGGGTAAAAATTCTTAACTACTCTAGGACATAGCTGTGTGTGTGTGTGTGTGTGTGTGTGTGTGTGTGTGTGTGTGTGTGTGTAATGAGAATGAGGAGTTAGGGTTATAAAAGCTCTAAGGTCTTTTCCATTTCTAGTAATCACAGGTTCTATCACTTAATACTTCTTCAGAGAAAGTGTAATATAGTACCTATTACTCAAATCCTATGAAAATTATACAGAGACTAATATTCTACTTCAGATGTAAGAAAGATTTTCATCAAAGAGGAAAGTAATTTGACCCAAACTTTCTGGAGACAACAGAAGCACCACATAACCTTCTGCTATCGCCATGGATCCTCTTTGCCTAGATTTAGTGCTGTCCTTAATTGCTCAAAGAACACATATAAGCTCAAAAAGTTGCAAGTACAGTACAACTAAAGCAAGTGCTACTACTACAAGTACTACACAGTAACAATAATTGGAAAGTTCTAGACTATTCCGGGTAATAAAAATAAACTAATTACAATAATCAAAGAGAAATGGAAAATGGGAAAAAATAAAACACAGCAGGCGCCAAAGGCTGCTTCTTGAAAGGTTAATAAAGATCAACAGTTCACATTGTTTTACATAAAAAGTCAACATGGCTCTCTATTTTATATTGTCTCCATTTTTACAATACTATTAAAAGAAGAGGCTCTCCAAATTGAGTTCCTAGTTTCATTTAATGTTTTAATAGTCTTGAAATCCAACTAGTGGTGGCTCAAAATGATTAACACAGGAAAAAAGGGGAAAAGATAAGAATACTGTCTTTCTGTGACAAAACTTTCACTTACCTTGCCACAAACAGTCCAAACTTTGAAAACAGAAGTGTACTCCCACTAACACTTAATTATTACACCAGGTTTCAATACAGTTCTTCGTATTGATGGATTTCATAAATTAAATGATCCACATTGCTTTACCTGATACATTCCAACTCCAATGTGCTTCGGCTCAATTTTCACTAGCTCAGCTAATGGATCTTGTACACGCCTTGCTATAGAAACTGAAAAAACAGAATCAGACAACAAGTACGACTTAATGTGAAAAGCAGCACTCAGATAATTACTTAGGTTAGTTCCTCATAAGTACTTAATCTTGTCCCTTTTTCTCTTCCCCTCCAAAGACCAACAATTTAAGATTTAAAGTTCTCCTTTTTCACTCAAAAATAGAATGCAAAATTTCAGGACTAGTTATATGCCAAAAGGACTACTGGGCCATTTTTGAAGCAAACAGAGTGAAAGAATTATAGATTCGGGAAAAGAAAACACTTAGTTTCCATACTTATACAATTACCTATTCATTCTTTAACTAAAGTATATTAGGATACCTCATGTTTAAAGAGAAAGTAGGGTTTTGTTTTGTTTTTACTTTTTTAAAACCCTGTATTATTAGAAATATGACTTAAATGTCAAATATGCTGATTAGCAATAGATCTTTATTACAATGAGTAAGTGATGGAATCATACTGGTTTTCTCTTGGGGGTGGAGGCTGGGGATTGAACACAGAGTCTTTGAACTAAAATACAACCCCAGCCCTTTTTTATATTTTATTTTGACAACAGGTCATGTTAAGTCATTAAGTTGCCCAGGCTGGAATTGAACTTCCAATCCTCCTGCCTTAGCCTCCCAGAGCGCTGGGATTACAGGCCTGAGCCATCACACCAAACTGGAATCATACCTTAATGCAAACAGAGACTGAGTCTGTTAGCTAATGAATACACTTGTGTGGCTTTGAATATAACTCTGAGGGTACACTGGGAAGTGCTATGTTATGGTTTGGGTCTAGATGCCCCCAAAGCCTGATGTGGTCATAGGTGGCTTTTTCAGAGGCGGCTGAATCTAGAGTATATATGCTAGGATACAGAGTATGCTGGGATTAAGGGCATGTGATTACTAGACCAGTACAATGATTGGTATTGCACCACCCTAATCCCAGTAGTCTGGATACAATAAAAGGGGCAGAAAGGTGTTGTTAAAGTCCCTTGTTGCTTTTGATACCATCTGGGTGCCATGAACTGTTTCTCCTTGTGCCATGTACTACTCTGCCTTAGAGCCAGCCAATTATGGACTGAAATCTCTACAAACTGTGAGCTAAATAAACCCTTTTCCCTTTAACTTTGGGTGTCAGGTATTTTCTCAGCAATGAGAGAAAAGTAACAAACATATGCTAAGAGTCTCAATTACTTGTCTCTTACACACACAGGTCTAATTTTATCCCTTTCTTGACCCTTACAATGCAAACTCAAGAAACCTGAAAATTAATTCCAAATATAACTTTATCTGTGTCATGATTTGCACTTGATCATCATTTACTGTCATCAATTTATTTTAGCAAATATTAATAAAATTTCATATCTAATTTAGTTTTTAAAGTAGTTTTAGCTATTGAATAATGATCATGAATATCCCAGATACTTCTGAAGCCACCCACGCTATCCACCCCCAAGTAGCATAGTTACTGTAAGTCTTGACATACAAACAACTTCTCCTTCCTAAATGTATAAAAGCTAATCAATGTCACCTACTCACATAAGTTGGATGGACTGTAAATTAATTAAGTGAAAACATTAAGACCATCAAAGGAAATCTTATGTTTGTTTTCATATTAAACTGTTTAAGGTCTGGTGGCAGAAGTCACCTCTCTACAAGCAACTATCCAATTCTCCGTTTGCTGATTTGTGCTACCTCTCTCCTCAGAGATAGGATCTACTAGGAATATCAAGTTCCCTGCATGGTTACTCAAGTTTTTTTGATATCCCTTATTAGCAGCCCTAACATACAGTAACAATAGCAGCTTGCAAAGCCAGCCAGCCTAAAACAAAAATAAGCTAGTGTCATACGATCTGTCTCTTTCTCTCACATAAGAGCTAGAGATTCCAAGATGTTCACATACAACTTCCTATCAAAAATCATAGTGCAAGCATTGCAGGCTACAGTAGAAATGCTTTCCTCTAATAACCACACTTATAATTATAGACTGAAAATACAGTGCTACCAGACATATGCTTGAATTTCTCTAAAGCAAATAGTTATATATCCCAACCTTTAAATCTATATACCACAGCAAGAATGATTTTCACACACACATACATACATTGCCAAAATACCTTTAAAAGTTATAAAAAAACTACAACAGTTAGCCAAAAATATAGGCATCAGAACACTTAATATATGGGAAAGCAGTATCAAAAATACAAAACAAGGACATCAATAATGGGTAAATCTCTCAAATCTATGCCTCTTGGGAAAGCTATATTAGAAAAATCTAAACATAGAAACTGGTCAGAACAGTTATATAATTTGGTAAGTACAGGCAGATTCTCATATTGTAAAATTTCTAAAATATACGAAAGGGTTTTTAAATTATTTTCTCTCTAGTTCACATCTGTGATCCTTTCCATTTTAATATTACCAAATGTAGAAGAACAATGGAATGAAAATTATGGCTCCTAAGTGACATATTAATTAATTCGACAGTAAGTCCAAAGATCCTCCAGAGTTACAGCATGCACAATATACAGCCTTGACAGAGATCCCAGGGTTTCCAGAACTGAAATTTCCCTCTCAGATGCTATTTACTATATGTCATATAAAAACCCAAGCGGTCCAGGAATGTAGCTCAGTGGCACCGCCCATGCCTGGCAAGTGCAAGGTTCTGAGTTCGATTTCCAGTACTGAAAAAAAGAAAAAAAACCCAAGCATAGAAAAGAAAAGGAAGCAGACAGAGAAATGAATGTTATTTCAAATAGAGCTCAACAGTACTGTGTCCAAGTTTCACAGAGAAGATGATGCTGATTTTCTGCTGGGAGGATCACTAAGAAAGAGTTACTCCGCACACAATAATAATTCAGAGCTCCAGGTTGAAAATGGTCAGGCTCGATATCAGAAAATGGAAAGACATCCTTTGCTCCTGGGTAGGAAGGATCAACATAGTGAAAATGGCCATACTTCAAAAACTGCTATATAGATTCAATGCAATCCCAATTGAAATCCCAGCAGCATACTTCATAGACCTCGAGAAAAAAATCCAAAAATTCATTTGGAGCAAGAAGAGACCCAGAATAGCAAAAGCAATTCTAGGCAACAGAGACATGGCAGGGGGTATCACAACCCCCAACTTGAAACTACTACAAAGCTACTGTAATAAAAACAGCATGGTACTGGCAAAGAAACAGACCTGAGGACCAGTGGAACAGATTAGAAGATGCAGAAACAACTCCAGACACACTCAGCCACCTCATCTTTGACAAAGGAGCCAAACACCCTCACTGGAGGAAAGATAGCCTCTTTAGTAAGTGGTGCTGGAGAAATTGGGTTTCAACTTGCCAAAGACTAAAACTAGACGTATATCTCTCACCATGCACTAAACTAAAATCAAAATGGATTAAAGATCTAATTATTAAAATAGAAACGCTAAACCGGCTGAAACAGAGGTTAGGTAGAACTCTTGAAGACATTGGTGTAGAAAAAGATTTTATGAACAAAACCTCAGTAGCCCATGAACTAGCGCAAACAATCAACAAGTAGTATCTCTTCTTACTAAAAAGCTTCTGCACCGCAAAAGAAACCACCAGCAGTGTGAAGACAGAACCCACAATGGGGGAAAAAAATTTTCACCAGTGGTCCCTTAGACAAAGGTCTACTATCTAGAATCTATTAAGAACTTTAAAAAGTCAAACCTCCCAAATTGAAAGACCCAATCCAAAAATGGACATCTGAAATGAACAGACATTTCTCACACAAAGAAGTAGAAATAGCAAATAAATACATGAAAAAATGTTCAACATCACTGGTCATTTGAGAGATGCAAATGAAAACAACGCTGAGATTCCACCTCACCCCACAAAGAATGGCTGCTTATCAAGAAATCAACCAATAACAAATGCTGGTGGGACTGTGGGGAAAAAAGAACCCTGTTCCACTGCTGGTGGGAGTGTAGACTGGTACAACCACTGTGGAAATCAGTATGGAGATACCTCAAAGAACTAGGACTAGAAGTCCCATTTGACCCAGCTATTCCCCTGGTGGGTATCTTCCCCAAAGAATTCAAAGAATCACACCACAGTGATATATGTGCACTCATGTTCATAGCAGCACAGTTTGTAATAGCTAAAACTTGGAAACAGCCCAAATGCCCATCAACTGGAGACTGGATAAAAATGTGGCTTTTTTATACAATGGAGTATTACTCAGCCATAAAAAATGAGAAATTAGAGACATTTATAGCTAAATGGATGCACATTGAGGCGATACTCTTAAATGAAATAAGACACACGTGTGTAAATACCAAATAGTTTCTCTAGTGTGAGAAACTGCAAGTGTAAATAAGGACTAAAAGTTATGATAGAAAATGTGAAATAGGAAGAAAAGGGGCAAAGGGGAAGGGGAAGTGGGAGGGGTAGGGGAAAGGAAAGAAGGGAATGGAATTAATATGAGAAAATGAAAAAATGGAAACAAAGTCTTTGTAAATAGGGAGGGATGGAGGGGCTGAAGCAAAGGCAGGGGAAGGGGGAAAAAATAAGAACCAAGAGAGATTATGTAAAGGTGCAAATTTCCAATGATGAATGTCATATTGTATACCTAAAATGTACCAATAAAAGGATATACAGTTTTAAAAAAAGAAAGAAAATGGTCAGGCTAACAACAGATTACTGATTAAGAAGTAGCTCAAGAAGAGTCTATTGGATGGCTGATTAAAAGAATTATAAGACAACGTTGCGGTCCCAAATTTGGGGAATAGCTACCATTTGAGACAGAGAAGGAAGGAACAATGGAAGAGACAAGGAATGAAGATGAGGAGACCCTAGTACAGATGTCAAAAAGACATCTGGAAAATGTTAACCATAGTGTTCTACATGCCCTAAAAATGTATTCTCAGATATACTCAAGAGAAATGGTATCGTAAGATCTGATACATGAATAGTCATAGCAGTATTATTCATAATAACCAAAAGAGTAGAATCAAACATCCATCAGCTGATGAATAAATAAACAAATGTGGTATATCCATACAATAGAGTATTTATTGGTAACAAAAAGGAATGAAGTGCTGGTACCTGCTACCACATACATGAACCCTAAGAACATTATGCTAAGTGAAAGAAACTAGTCAGAAAGGACCACATATTGTACAATTACATTTATATAAAATGTCCAAAGCAGGTGAATCCATATAGCTATGGAATAATGTCCAGGGTTGCTGGGGTGGTCGATGGGAGGAGGAACAAAAGTGACTGCTAGTAGGTATGAGGTTTCTTTTTAGGGTAATGAAGATATCCAAAAACTGGATTGTGGTGATAACTGTACAACTGATTATACTAAAAAACATTGAATTGTACACTTTAAAGGGATATTTATGTTATGTATATTACACGCCAAAGAAGCTATTATATATATATATTTATAATTCAGTATATCTAAATGTATCCCAAATATTGTTTTGTCCACATATGATATCAATATTTTGCTATATCACTGCTATAATTCATCACTGTTTGGGAAATTCTAGTCAATGCACTTTGACAAAAAAGGAAGATAACAAATATTGACATGACAGACACTGGATTATTATCAGTAGTAATATTTGCAGATAATGATTGGCTCCCTAGACTACTCAAACAGCAAGTCAATTGAAAAACTGCCAGAACTAGTAATCAGTCAAGTGGCTGATCAATCAATCAATCAAGATTCCAGTCAAGTGGCTGAATTTCAAGACATATAGACAAAAACTAGTATTCATATGCAATCAACAATCTTAACATGGAATGGAGAGTGAAAGAAATAGGGAAATGTTGGTCAAGCTATAAGTGTAGCTACAAGAGTACAGGAGTAAGTTAAAATTTTGACAAAAATGTTTAAGTATCATGAAGAAGAACCTGTTAATCATACATACATAAATTACTTATTATATAATTTGTGATAGTTAATTAATTGTGTTAACTCAAGTAAGAAATGTCCAACTAAATTGACTCAGCATAGTTCTGGGTGTGGGAAGACCCACCCCAGGGAAGGCTGCAGTCAGAATGGTATAATGGGAGACAAAGAAGAAAAGATTACTACTGTTTCTTTGGAGAAGCTCTAGTCTTCACCTTCACCCTGGACACTGTCTTCTGGATTCTGGAAGACTTCAGCCTTCCAGTGCAGACCCTTCAACTTTCCACTGCAGACCCTCTGGCCTCCTGATAACGGACTCACACGTGACACCATAGTGAGCTCCAGGCCTTCAACTGGATCCTTTGGATCTCCAGCACATAGGTGTAGACCTTTTGGACTCTTTCATATCTGACTCTGTGGGTGGCCAATGTAAGCCAATCTTGTAAATTCTTATATATTTGTATATCTTGTATTAACTGTTTCTCTAGTAAGTACTAATACATAATTTCACCCATAAAACCATGAATAATAATAAAATGTACAGAATCTGGATAAAAGTACAGATTTAACTGAATTTCACTCCACATTATGCAGAGTTTTTAAAGTATTTATAAACGAGTCTAAACTTGGAAAAAAAAAAAAGAAATACATAAGATGAGTAAAATTAAAAAGATACTTAGGGCCGAGGATTTAGCTCAGTGGTTCCACCACCTGCCTCGCAAGTGCAAGGTCCCAAGTACCAAAAAAAAATACTTAAAACAAATGCTATAGAAACTGAATCTTGCATTGTAACAGACTAAATAGACTTGTGGTAGCAAACCTATGGCGTGCATGCTGCAGTGGGCTGTTTGTATCTTTGAAAGCTCTAAAAGGTTCAACACACTGAGATAGAGCAATGAAAAGAAGGATTTTACTTTTATGACTGAAAGGGAACTAGCCATGTGCAGAAGGGATAAAAGCACAGAGAATGGCTTCTCTTGAGAACTAACTCACTCCACAAGACCAGCATGAATACGTTCCAAGACCAATGCCCTCATAACCTAATTATCCTGCACTAGGTCTTTACCTCTTCAGGATTCCACCACCTGTCAATACTGCCACAGTAAGGACCAAGCTCTCAGCACTTGACTCTTTGGAGGACAAACTACATCCAAACTAAAGGTGGGTTTAAATGTAAAATTCAGACCTATAGGTAGCTTAAGTCTCAAATAAGATCTCTCATGCATTAATCACTAGGAAAGAGGAATGCATGCAATAAGAAATAGGAGTTAAAAAGGAACTGGGCCCTAGGAAAGCAAGAGTGGAGACTCCAAGCTTTTTTGAATATTTGCCTTCAGGACTACTTTCAAGACCCCAAGTGTCTAGGCAGATGTTCTGGGTTGATATGGATTAAACATCATCACTGGCACACAGAAGCAAGCTGAGACACAGAAGGCAGGCACACCAGCAGTCAATCACAAACCGAAGATGCAGCTAGTGAGACTTGGAAATCAGAGTAATTACAGCCTTACAGTGAGCGATTCCCGTTTTTCTTGTCTTCTATTTTCAGTCTTGTTGGAATGTTATGATCTGGTCTTACCCATGATCCTATGACAGTTAGGTGCCCACAAGGTCTGACAGTTAAGAAGAAATAGCAATCACTTTAGCAGTGGAAGGCTTGAGAGAGCAGTGACTTCCAGAAAAACTGGCCCAAATATTTTTCACAACACCATGTTGGAAATTACTTTTACAGTGCCAGAACTTAGGAAGTTCTGGATTCTATTTTTTATAAAGTAAATTATCATTTTATCATAGATGTTAGACACACAAATATTATGTACACACTTACTGGCTGCTAAACTGTAGTTTCCTCATCTGTAAAGTGAAAGTAAAAGTCTCATAGGGCAATTGTGAGAATAGAACATAATCCTGGTAATGCATTTCCCACAATGTTTCATATATATTAAGTGCTTAAGAAAGATTAGAATTACCAGCTCCCTCCATGATTACTATTTCTACTCCTCCTACTGTTGTTATTACTATTGCTATTATAAGGCAAGCATCAAAGAGCACCTGGTAAGCAGGCAGCCATTAGGCTGAGAAGATGCAACAGGGAAGGGTTTCATAGAAGAAGCAAGACTGTATACTGAGATTTGAGTTTGAGAAAATGATAAATTTAGATATGGGATTGTGGCATGGAACAAACAACTGAAGAGAAACTAAAATCTTTCAGATGTAAAAGAAAAAAGTAGTTTTTAGATTTTGATTAAGGTAAAACTCTTCAAAAATACACTTCCAGGTACAGATTTCAAGAACATCCCAAGAAATCTGCTAAGAACATTTAAAGAAAAAACTAAATAAAAGGCCTATTGCTAACAAATTGATCTACATAATGCCTCTATTACACAGAAAAATGTTCTGCTCAGATCTAATATTTTGCTAATAATCAATTGCTTCCTCTAGATATATCAAAGTATTTCTTTAAATACAAGGTTTTAACTATTCCACATCATAGAAATCAAGCAATTAAATACAACTAAAATAAAGCAGGCTTTTAAAAGCAACATGCTATCAAATGGCAAACTCTATTAGAAAGCCAAGAGACTATTTAACAAATACTTAGCAATAAACTGAATGCCTGTGTATATTTATTTAGTGCACTTGCACTATGAACATTATTATGTTAACATATTACTTATTGCCAACAAAAGGCTCTAATAACTAGTATTTTGTAATAATAATAAAAGACTTTAGAGCATTTTATTATTTCTTATTAAAGCGCTGGCATTTAACTTTCCAAAAGAGGTTTTGTGTTAATTTTTCACTTTTCTCTAGAGTGCTATGTAGTATTCTTTAAAAACAAGACCGTATTCTTCTTTTCCATAATTCCAACTATTATTCCAATCAAACACTGTCTTTCTAACATGCCAATTCCTATGCACATGGTATATCATTTAAATTTTCTTGGATATTTAAAATATTTAGCTTGCCACATATGCAAGTCCAAAATAATCAAAATCACATGCTTTTGTGATAGTTTCTTACCTGCACTTCTCAAATTAGGATCCAGCCCTGGCATCTCTTTGTTGGCTTCAGGGCTCACACTGTAGATTGATGCTCCTGCTTCACTGACAATACTAAAAAACAAAAGAAAGAATATTATTTACCAAACTTTCTGCTTGATCAAAGAAAATAAATAAATGAACTAGCTACTCTAGGAAAAAATTACAGGGACAAAGTAATCTCTTTATGTCTCAATGACACCTATAGCATCTACTATTTCATCAATATAAACTGATTAACCAATGCCTTTTTTTTTCCACATAGCAGATACACAGGCTTAAATCCATGATGAACCCATTCTGTTGGGGTGTTTTTGGTACCGGGGATCGAACTCAGGACCTTGCGCTTGTGAGGCAGGCGGCAGAACCACTGAGCTAAATCACCGGCCCTCTGTTGTTTTCTCTGTCACTGGTAAAGAGACAGTTTACTGATGAGCAAAATGAATCCTTTGCTTCACCTGTGTTTCGAATCCATTGCTGCCCAATATTTATGATTTCCATCTGAATAAGTCATTCTACACCTTTTTGGAAAGCACATACTCATATGTGTAGATATGTATACACATGGACATACAAATAAAACACTGTCATAAATATTGATATTATTATCTGGTTATATCAATAACCGCAATATGAAAATGAAAGAGATCAGATAGGATGTCACCTTCTTTTCAGGAGGGTTTTTAATCATATTTTTAGTGAATCTGAAGCCTTTCACTTCAGGCAAGTATTAAACCATTTCCTGGTACCATTTATTTAATCAAAGCTTCATACACTTCATCCTCTTCCTTTCTTCAGTGGTTACAAAAACTTTACAAACCACAATGGGAGCACTCACTTAGAGCCGCCATTTATATGTATAGTGGTTACATTCGTACACATGTCTATTTACCAAACATTTTAAAAGTAGAGTTCTCCTTTACAATATCATATGCAAAGGAGTATCATCTATCTTAAGTATACACAACACCTATGACCCTACACCACATGATCACCTGAGTGCCAAGATTCAAAAACAGAAACATGGGCCGGGGATTTAGCTCAGTGGTTCCGCCGCCTGCTTCACAAGCATAAGGTCCCGAGTTCAATCCCCGGTACCAAAAAAATGAAACAAAAAAAACCCAGAAACATGTTAATGCTCCATTTTTAATCCACACATAGCATAGCAATCTTTCCCTTTCTCTGCTCCTCAGTGTTTACTTCAATTATTAGACAGGTTTCATGGATAGCTTTTTAACACATTGCCTTATTGTAATTATTGAATACTGAAAATACCATATATAAAAGTTGTTTGCTACTCCTTGTCTTTGGAGAACTAAATTTAATTCATTCCTTCATTCTTTCCTTCTTTTTTGTAAAGACAAGGTCTTGTTATGTAGTTCAAGATGGACTTGAACTCACTGTGTAGCTGAGGCTGGTTTTGAACTCCGAGCTATCCTCCTGATCCTCCTGCCTCTGTCTCCCAGGTGCTGGGATTGCAAGCAAGCACCACCATGCCTGGCCCAATATATTGTTAACCCTACTTTTTGTATATATGGTACTAGGGATTGAACCCAGGGCCTTCACACTGAGCTACATCCTCAGTTCTTTTTAAAACTCAATTGAATATGGATATACACAACTAAAGGAAACCACCAACACTTGAGAAGATTATTTTAGAGAACTCAAGATTTATCTTTCTGCAACCAAGACCTACTACAACATTCTAAATTTGTGACAGGAAAAATGAACACCACAATTGAAAAGCGTAGCTGTTCATCTTGTTTGTCATTAACAACATCATGTTACAATAAGAGGTTAACAATGTATATTTTACACCAACCAAAAAACCAAGCACTTTATAATAATCATCTTATTTAACAGATTAGGTCTTACTTTATAGGAAAACAATGTCCCCAAGGTCAAATGAGCTGGATTTAAATCCTAATCTGCTTGATCTGAGTATTTTTTCCCTTCCCAACAGCAGGGATTGAACTCAGGGTCTTTGCTTTGAGCTATGTCCCCAGACCTTTCATAATTTTTTTTTTGAGACAGAGTCTCACTAAGTCACCAAGTTACCCAGGCTAGGCTTGAACTTGCAATCCTCCTGCCTCAGCCTCCCAGAGTTCTAGGATTACGGGTGTGTCACCACGCTTGGTTTAAATCTGAGCTCTTAACTCACACAACCAATCAACTCTTAAAATGTTTCAAAACCGTTCATTAAAATGAGAACCCATTTTTTGGTGCCAAACTAATCTTTCCTAAAGAAAAACTACTTCAACAATAGATCTATAAGAACTCATCTCTATCTTTCATTATCTTCACTTCTGACTCAAAGATAAAGTGAGTTTTGTTTTCTTAAGTACCTAAGATAAAACATAAAGCATATAGAAGGTTAATATGGTCTAAAATTTCAGGGACCAACTTTAAAAGAAACTGTGTGTAGCCAGACATAGTAGAACACACCTATCATTCCAGTTGTCCAGAAAGATGAAGCAGGTGGTTCTCAAGTTCAAGGTCAGCCTGGGTAATTTAGCCAAGACTGTCTCAAAATTTTTTTTAAAAATCTTTTAAAAGGGTTAGGGTGAGCTGAGCATGGTACCACACACTCATAATCCTAGCACTCTGGGAGGCTGAGGAAAGAGGATTGAAAAGTTTGAGCCTAGCTAGCCCAGGCAATTTAATGAGACTCTGTCTTAAATTTTAAAGGAATTGGGGATACAGCTCAGTATAAAGGCCCCAGGTTCAGTCCTCAGTACTTGAAAAAAAAGGAGGGATTGTTTTTCCCCCCAGTAAGACTTGGATATGCTTCTCTTCTATATAATGAGCTAGGAGAAAAATAAAGTTTAAAGGAAAAAAAAATTATTATTGAAGAAAATTATTAGTGTGGCAAAATAATGTGATGCTAAAACTAGTATACTAGGGCCGGGGATTTAGTTCAGTAGTTTCGCCGCCTGTTGCACAAGCGCGTGGACCAGAGTTCAATCCCGGGTACCAAAAAATAAAATAAAATAAAATGAAATAAAAAATAAATAAAACTAGTATACTAGAAGTGACTTAACAGTTCAGGGGTAGAAGTGCTTCCTAACCCAGGGCTGCTGGACTACTGGGCAGGGAAAAACAGGATTAAGTAAAACTGTATATAAAATGTTTCTGTTGGTACATTTCTCCTCTAGGAAAAGGGGATATATCTTTCACTGCTGATTACTGAAAGAAATCCATGCCCCCAAAAGAGGTTATGAAACACGACTACAGGATAAGAATATTCAGTCACAGCTATGGAAAACTCCTTTCAAACACAAACAAGCACGCAATCCAATGAAGTCTGTTCTGAAAAACTGGTGTGTCCATGAAGTATAGGCTCTTTATTAAGAAAAAAGAATATTTTAAATAGTCTCACCACAAATTGATTTTCTACCATTTCCAGAAATCTCCAAAGTTACAACTACTTTAGCAAAGGGAACTGAATGGTAAATTAAAATTCTAATTATCTGTGGCTGTTTGCAATTGGGTACCTGAGAATTTACTGGGTGATTCACTGTCTCTTAGAAGTTATAATTCTCAATAGACTGAGGGGAACTGATGCAAAGAAAAACACTCAGATAATAAATATTCTTCTAAATACCATACTGCCACTTCTTTTAAACAGAGGAATACAAAACAGATGTGACACACTGCACCCAAAGATTTTATATTAACATTAATATTAAATGCAAAATGTAGTAAATTTTATATGCTTTAGTTACCAAATGGTATGGATCCAATAGACAGTGCAATACTCAGCATAGATCAGAAAGCTTAAATAATCTAAATGAACAAAAAAACCTCAAGCTGATTATTTCAATATAAAATATTTAAAACCTAAAAAGTATACGTGACCAGAAGTAAATGAAACAAATCAAACTGAGAGTGGTAATGATTTTATCCAGAAGAACTTGCTAAGAACAAAAGCTCTAACACGCCCCCTTTCCAACCTTTTCATTCCTACTTGGAGTTCAAAGATAGACATTCAACAGGAAGCATGCTAGATTTATAAGGCACTTTCCGTTTCAAGAGAAGTTTCTCAATAAATTATTGGGAAATACTTCAATTATCTCTGATATTCTGAAAAAAGCAAAAATGAACTCTGTATAATATTCATATATCTAAAGATTTAATAAGCATTGTATTTCACAAAATAAATTTCTTTCCTGTATAAACTAGCTAAACTCAAACTTTTACCAATTTGATTATTTTGTATATTTCACCATGAAGCAGACAAGACTGAGCAGAATTTATTTTGGGGGGAATTTTAACTGACAGAATTGTAACTGAACTAACATTTCAAGATTATTCCAATACTCTAAAGGCCCTTAAAATTACTGAAATTTAGACAATCACCTTAACACATAGTACATGTGGTATCTCAAGCTTAAATATATAAAAATATATTTCAGAAGCTAACATTAGAATAATATTTCCCACATCTATGTTAATGTGCTAATTCTCTCTAATTAAATGAATAACTTAAAATTTTTATCTAGTAAAGCACTACTTAGGATTTTTGGGGGGTCTTTCAAGTAAACTACACACCTTTATAATCTAAAAACCAATTAAAATAGCTATAGTATAGATCCATTTATTTTTAAATTCATTAAATGTTTTCTTCAAAAACCCTGTAAGTTAAAAATGCTATATTTTCCCCAAAAATGCTATATTTTCTTATCCCAAGTAAAATTCAATGCTGTTACTTACATAAAACTGACCATTAACCAGTATAATTTGTCTTTTTAAAAGATATACATTTAAATCACGGAATTGATATGTCTGGTTTCTAAGTCTCTTCTACCATGACAGACTGTATGTTTATTTCACCTTCATATTTTCAGGATTATTTTTATACATTCATTTTACAATCATCCTGGAGAGTGGGTACATGTATATAATACAGCTTGTTTCTTTTTTTAATCTTCTCCCTTTCCCTCCCTCTCCTTTTCTCCTCTAATTCTTCTATCTCAATTTTCATTCTTGTTGATATTATTAATCTCAGCTCATGTTTATGGCACATAATGTTTACATCCACTGAGGTCACCAGGTTCCTGTACATGGCATACCTC